AACTTGCTTAGAAGTGTACTAAAAATGTAGAGAAAGAAGAGTAAAAATACGACAAAATATAATTTATTGGTAATGAACAAAATACATTGAATTATAAGCTATAAAGACATGATTATACACTAGAAAAACGTATTATGGGCCAAAAATAATAATGCTGAGTAGTTCATGTATTTTTCTTTGTTGTCGTTTTCCTTGAGATCTTTTTCCGTGTTGATCCTGAGGAAGATGGACCTGGTTCCTCGTCTGGTTTGAGAACATCTTCACTAGTTTTTGCCTTCCGTTTCTTCGATGGCAAATCTTTCGGCATCCCTCTTTCGGCATTTCCTCATCAACACTCATGTTTCATTTCATGCGAAATGCGAAGACGATAATCAACAGAAACAGTAAACGTCACTTCTTCAGTGTTACTTTTTTAAATGTTCCACACTAGCAACTTACACGATGAACTATAATAATATTCCGACCAACAACAACACTTACTGGACCAACAACAACACTTACTGGACGTCCGGCGCGGAGAACAATTAACGAGATAATGAGAAACTGACGAAACGAGTTGCTTACTTTTAACAGCTTTTTCACAGAAAACTAGTTTTCGCACGTAAGCTCCCTTTTCGTAGATCAGGTCACATATATAAAAACCCCGTGTCACTGTGTTCGTTTACGCTAATCTCCGAAACCGCTTGACCGATTTCAATGAAATTTTGTGGGTGTGTACTGTTGGTTCCAACTTAAAAGATAGAATAGTTTTGAATTCGAGAAAAAATATTTTTATTATCGAAATTTTTTCTATGCTCCTCTCAACGTGTCACGGTGTTAGTGGTCGAACTCCTCCTAAACGGCTCGACCGATCTTTATGAAATTTTTTGTGTATATATAGTAGGTATGAGAATCTGATGTAAAGTATATTTCATACCGCTACGTGTAGGGGGCGTGGCACCTCCCATACAAATCGAATTTTTCATATTGCATATCTCTGGAAGTGTTCATGGTAGACTACTCGAATATGGTATAGATAGATATATGAAAACAATTGGAGAAAAATTTCGGTTATTGGAAAAAGGGGCGTGGCACCTCCCATAGAAACCGAATTTTTCATACTGCATATCCAGGAAAATGTTCATGAAAGAGGTCTCGAACATGGTATGGAGATATATGAAAGCAATCGCATACTCATGGAGAAAAATTGTGGTTATTGGAAAAAGGGGCGTGGCACCTCCCATAGAAACCGAATTTTTCATACTGCATATCCAGGAAAATGTTCATGAAAGAGGTCTCGAACATGGTATGGAGATATATGAAAGCAATCGCATACTCATGGAGATAAATTGTGGTTATCGGAAAAGGAGACGTGGCACTTCCCATACACATCGAATTTTTCATACTGCATATCTCTGGATGTGTTCGTGGAACAGTACTGGAACTTGGTATGTACAAGATATATAAAAACAGTCGCGTGGTCATGAAGAAAAACTGGGGCTATTGGTATGGAGATATATGGAGATATATGAAATCAATCTCATATTCTTAGAGAAAATTGGCGCTATTTGAAAAGGGGACGTGGCGCCTTTCAAACGCACTGAAACTAAGTACAGTATATTTTGCTTTGCTGTCTTCATGCCTAAGTGCACATTTAAGATACCTACCCCAAAATGCGCATCAAAAGCATTATTTTTAACATTTATAAGGAAACTGCTCCGATAGATGCATTCAACATACCTGCACATTGGCGATACCTGCCTTAAAAATTGTGCAACGAGTATCAATTATCAAAGAAAGTATTACGTTTACCTGCACTGGCCCTACAATTACCTAATTTTACAAGCTTTAATTTATTTTGCTCATCTCGCAGAACAATGAAAATGGCTATTAATTTATGTAGTTATATAGATAATTATATACCATTTGGTAAAAATTTCGCTTGCAGTAGTTTCTACGTGGTAAGTGCTTCTCCATTATTCGGTTTCATAGGAATTCGGATACCTTCCTCATTGAAGTAGTAAAGAAAATTCGCTTAAGTGCCTTTTTCGGTTAAGTGCACAAGTTTTTCGTGCAAAGAAGGATGTGCAGCTAAGCAAAATATACTGTTTTACGTATCTTTGTATGCATGTACAGTTTTGCTAGGTTATTTAAGACGGCAATGGAAATATGCCTTCTGACAACCACCCAAGCGTAATATTAGAAGATAAATGTGTCACTGAAAATTATGAACGTGAACTGTTGGTGAAAATTTTGAACCAAAATGTTTCAATACAAAAAATTTATTTTGGGCGGGACGAAGTTCGCCGGGTCTGTTAGTATATTAATATATTTCAAGGGACCAATTTGTTTCCCAATTACATTCTTCCCTTTTTTCTAGCACTAAGATGCATTAATTGATTAACACAAAAAAAAAAAGTTGTTGAAATGAGTTTATAAAATTAAACTAAACTTTCGCGGTTATTTTCATACATACATACATGCTTCATTTGATTATCTGAAATTCAAAGCCATTGACAAAAAAAAAGTTGCCAATCCAAATAGACCCTTTAAAACTTTTCCGAAAAAAGCAGCAAGTTTTCGAAGAAATGAATAGAAAATAAAAGTTTCAAAGTATCCACCTAGATATAAGTGGCGTTTTTCAACAATATTAAACATTACTAGATTTAAGTGACCCAATACAATTTTTCTGCCCTTTTTCGACTACATCGATTTAATTGCTTTTCTTTTTCCAAAATACAACTTCCTGGAAGTTACTGAAGGTTAAATACCCAAGCCATATACGACTGTACATGTATATGAAAAACTTTTCTGTTCGACAATTCTCTTAAATACATAAAAACACTTAAAAAAAGCTAACTTTTTAATATGCATGTGAACTTGCACGATAAAAACCTACCTGCATATAAGTTCGTACAATAACATTTTATTACGTCAAGGGTCATAGCGAATCGTGTGAGTTTAGTGGAGTACAGGTAAAGTTAACACGTTGCAAAGATCTTTTAAGAAAGTGTTTTATAAAATTTAATTGTCAGATTAAAATTCCAATAGAGCCTCTAGCATTCATTTGCAAAACAGATTTAGCTGACTCTGATACCGAAGAAGAGTACTCCGACGCAAAATCACAAGCTTCAGTAAGTTTAGCCATTAAAATAAGCGCTTAGCTTCCAAACATCAAAGATTCGCTAAGTCTATTAGAAATTCCAGCAGCTGCAACTAGTTCACCTAATTTTTCAGTTCCAATTTCAATTCCAAAATTTTTACAGAAATGCCAGGAGAGCAAAAAAGCCTTTTATAAGCCTTTGTGCTTCGATTATTAAAATGGGGATCCGTTAGCGCTCGAGTCGTTTTTAGATAAGATTAGCTTGATTGAGTACTTAAAAATAAAAGTTAAGTATTTCCCTGAAAGCACAAAATTTTTCCTTTTGGGCTTTGTACAATTTTAATATATCCGTCAAATCTTCCTCATCCGATTCCGATCTCAAAAATGTATCCTACAAAATTCTCAAAGAATTCAAAACATATATTTCAGTAGTAAAGAGGTAAGTATAAATATACATATAATATTCTTTCGAAATTTAATGGTCGGTATATTTCGTGTTTTTATTGTTGAATACTTAGTGGCAATTCTTAAAATTATCACTGTTACAAATTATTTGCATTGTGTAAGCGAAACGATTTTTGGTGACTTTAACGTGAAGCACTTGACTTTTCTTGATTCAAAAGCAACCGATATTTTATGTACATATCGCTAGCTTAGAAAGAAAAGTTGCTAAGCCCCATTTTAAAAATTTTACAGGAGAGGAAAAAATCTTCCTATAGCCATTTTCTTTAACTATTTCGCAAGACTTCGAATCAAACATTTTTCGCGTTTAAAGCAAAGCAAAACTCCATAAGAATCAGAAGGATTCGATATTTATTAAAAGATGTCGTATTATTTTGGCCTTATCGGATTTGTGGTGCTTCTTTTGGACTTAGCAAATTTTCCTTTTATTGCTTATGAAGAGGAAAAAATAAAACAAGTACCTTTATAATTTTCGAAACGATGCGTATTCAATTTCTCTAGCCTCCTACATCAAAATATTAGTTTTCATAAAAAATGGACTTAGCAACTTTTCACTCTAAGCTAGCGATATGTACATGTACTATTTAACATTTCATCAGATAATTTGTTCCGCTTTTTACATTAAACACCAGTTACAATTGAAAAGATCCTTTCTTACTCAGCGCTTGAATTGGTTAACGGGAGAAAAATTTGAAAGTTGTCCTTATAATCTTTAATACTCATACATAATTTTACTCCACATCACATCTTCAGAACGATTAATTACGTAAGAGTGTTGAATACTCTTGGATACTGATCAATTATGCATCGAAAATTGTGGTAAATGAAAATAATTTTTTTATTTGAAATGTCCCTTTTTCCCCTTTTAATAATTTTTGATGCAAAGTATACCTCAAATAGGGAAATTATCCACAATCTGGCATCACCTCTACAGAAGATTCCTGCGGCATTTGATGTTTGTTGTCTACATTAAAAAAATTGTAGAGCGGGTTTCCACGGCATCAACATTTGGCCGTTTCGCAATCGGAGAATCCTACTGCAATAACCGAACAATTTATTAATATACATAATTAATAATAATTCTTTTGCACACCGAATACTTACACATCCTACAATATCCGCAATACTCCTTTTTGAGCTCATTTCATTATTATTTAGTATAGACTTGCTTATAAAAGTTCACATATGTATGTTTTTACTTAAAAAATTTATTTACGCACGTGTTTGACAATTCACATTTTTGTTGTCATCTGCAAGTTTCTGCTAGAAACATTTTTACTTGCAAGAATTTGCAGCTCTCTCATGTTTGAACGCTCTCGTTTTGGCTTTCTCTTGCAAGTCTTTTGGGTTACTGAACGCTTTTCCAGTAAAAACTGGCAAGCTCCAGTAAAAACCAGTAACCATTTTACGAAATCCGTGCGATGTAAAAAAGAATAGCTCATACATACATACATACCTTTGTTTTATCATCATGCAGTCGGGTTCATGCGGAAAACCAACAGGAGATTGGCAGACAAAGCAACACGTTAGAGACGAAAAGGCATCATAACTTGCAGCACAGAACTGATGTTGAATATTAATCATAGCTTGGGCGTTCTCCATAATAATAAGTTCATTGTGGTCCCGAATACGTTTTTGTTCCAGGTCACATTTCGATGTCGGATCAGCGGAGGGGATTACAACGAAGTCTTGCAAAATTGCCGTGATATGCGCTTTTACAGTGCTCGTGGCCACTGCGGTTGCTCTACAATGAAGATATATAGCAAAGCTTTTTGAAAATCCGTTAGATGTGAATGTATGCAGTATGTTGTAGGAATGTTAATTTTTTCGATTTTTACGATCCCGGGATTTTGGGGATCTCATTATTACAATCCCGGGATTAGTCCCAGAATTTAGATATTCATTATTTTTCAAAAACTAAACACTTAAAAATTGCATCAATATTGTTTGAGATAATAAATAATAAATAAATATTTAAATTGAAAAATATGTAACAAAACAAAACATAGTAATTTATGCGCATTTAATAAAACTTTAGCGTATACATATACGTATGTCGAAAAAATCGATGCAAATAAACTTAGTCAACAAATGTATTTTTTGGTTGAAATAAGTTCATAATACTAGTGGCAGAATAAAAGAAACGCCTTACTTCGACCAGTATTCTCTATAATTCTGTAATTTATTCAATATTAACATTTTTTTATAAACGTCTACCTCATTTTTCATATATTTAATATAAATGAGCATTTCAAAATTTGTACAAAAATTATGAAAATGGAAAAAATATTCAATATATAAATAATAATATATAAAATTTGTAAGGTTTTACTCAATTGTAGGTACGCAGTGATACCGTCAGCTTAAAAGAGGGTATTTTTAACCACTGAAACTTGCACTTTATCGTACTATAATAAAAAAAATTAAAAAAAAGTCGAAGTAGAGAGCAGACGTGTTTTCGTCTTGCTGCTGCTTTTAGTTTGTTACTTTCTGTTCATGGTCGGCTCGCGCGGAAAATGTGTAAAGGTATTTTCAAGAAACGATGTTTGTGTTGTGTCATGTTCTGGACTCTGCAAAAGGACTTTTCATCGAGGCTACTGTGTTGGCCCCATCTCGGACTCCGATGTGAGGTTATTTGAATCGAACCGCCATATTGGTTATACGTGTAAGAAGTGTGTTAGTAGCTCACAAAAGTTGTGCAAGTTACTCGACACAATGCAATTGACGTATAAGCTTAGCACTATTTCGAGTGCAGTTGAGCTGAAATTTAAAGATTTGGCTAAGCAATTCGCCGATTTAAAAAATTAAATTAAATAATTATATCCTTCTGGCAACAACAACTTTCGCACTGCGGATGTGCTTTTAATCCGAATCAAAATACTGCCAATGCTAAAAATAGCGTTACTTGTTCTTCCACCGCTAATGGAACACCTGCTGTTCCTGTCACTCCATCGCCTAATATCGTACCTGCTCTACAATCTAACACAACATTTGTCAATACGGTGGATTCGATTTCTCGTCCGATGCATAGCCTTGCTTTGTTATCTCCATCACATCGTCATTGTCCTGATAAAGTCGACTCTGTTAACCTCAGGTCTGCTGCCTCGTATGCTTCGTCTAGAGCCGCTGGTTCTGTTATTTTGCTGTTAATACGGATCCCAATGCTGATCTCGCTGTTAACACTGCTGCTACTAATAATATTCAAGCTACGTAAATAATGCATCCGAATTTAATCAATATGGAAAATTTCTCAACTCAAACAATTGATACTTCTGGTGCTCCTCGCTGCCTAGCCGTGGTGGTGACAAAAGTAATTGGACTAAAGTGCCTCATAGAAAGGTTTCGAGACGTAATAATGTTAATTCTTGGATGCAATGTAAACAGTGAACTTGATGTTATTGTAAAGAAGAAATGGGTGCATGTCTCCTCTTTCAACCTAGAAATCTCGGAGAAAAGCGTAACCCAATGTCTCAAAAGAAGCGGGTATGGACAGTAAATATCTAGGCTGCAATAAACTTATAAAGGCGGGCACACATTTGTAGGAGCTTCGGAGTGTGAATCTGAAATTTGGTGCAGTTCCTGCTTTCTATGATAATATCTTGGCTTCTGAGGTTTGGCCGTCGAGTATTAGGGTAAGGCCATTCAAGTTTCTTCTAAACGAGGTGAATCCAACCCTTACAAATTAGCGTGGTCTGCTTGTGGTACGAAATCCTGTAATCATCAGTCGAATTTCAAAATATACTAACAGAATATGTCCGGGATGCGAGCTAAGGCCAGCACTATTTATTTGGCTACGTGGCAGGCCGATTATGACCAGTGCTGCCGTTTAAGCCCTTTGGCGGCTAGATTTAGCTACCACATACTTTTCTTGGCCACATAAATTTAAAATTGCCCCTAGCCCTTTTTAGCCCTTTGGCTTTTATTCGTACTTGACATGAAAAAGTTGTATATGCTATATTTGATTTCATTTTTTTCATTTATGTATGAGATGAATTTTTAAACTAAGAAAGACTCTGATATATATGTATATATATATTTAAGTGTGGATATGTATTGTATGTTCCTTACGTTTCTATATAAACTAGAAAAGTGTTAGGACCGTTAACTTATCTATTAACGATTTAACTGCACTTTAAAATAGATAGGTTTACAACGCCAAATATGTTTAATGTGTTAAAAAGCTCGTAGATGATACCAGCATGCTCGTGCCATCAAGTGTTGGTGCCAGCCAACTGACTGTGTGTGTTCTTGTACCGGCCGGTGGTGCGACATAAATAAATTAATGGTCCGATGTTTGTAAGTACCAGAATAAGAAGAGATAGACCCATTAAAATGCATGCTTAAATGATCAGCAAAGAATCACTTGCAAGTGTCTGGAATTCCTTTAAAGAATACTGATTCTAAATTGGACCAATTATGTGTATCAATATTGGGTCAAAAAACGCCTTTATACTTATGTGTTTCATATATACCTAATGTGACCAACTATTTCATAGCTCAAAGATGTACAGAAACTTAAAACCAAAAATAGTATGTGAAAAAAATCCTTAAGCTTTTTTAAGAAAATAACTTGCGTAAACTGTGTGGTTGTCGGGGAGAGCGCGATAGCAACAACAATGCCTATTTCCTCGTATGAAATAACGAACGACGCGCGCTTTCTCGATGATACTTTACAAGTGACTTTTTTATTTTCAATTTCATCTCACTTTGCCTACGACTTAAAACTAACGGCTTAGGGCAGTTGTTAATATGTACATAACAAGTATATGAGTTCAACGGCTTTAAGAAATTATGTACAATAATAATGTAAGTATGCATGTAGAAATATGTAAATAAGGTAAGTATAGAGCAAATAGGTAGTTGAATATAATCGGGTAAGTATGTATGTAAGTGGTAAGTATGTTAGACAATAGGTTTACTTCGTAAGTGAGGTAAGTATAATAATTTAATTTCGAAATATATTTATGTTAATAACTCATTTTCAATTAGGAATTCAAAACTAGAAAATCTGGCGCAACACCGGCCACCTTAACAGGATCAGGATCCTTCAACTTCAACGGGTAGTGCGGCGAGTTTGTGAATTGGGCGCTTAATTAGGCCAGCTTTGGTTACGACGTCTGCGACTCGAACCTTGCCGTCTAGCCCTGGAACGATTGCGGCGACGCGGCCGAGCACCCACTGCTGAGGTGGGATGTTGCCCTCCTGAACCAGGACGAGGTCGTTGAGCTCCTGAAGGCCCGTGAGGTAATTCTTGGACCACTGTCGCCAAAACTGTTGCTTGAGACAGCAAACAAGTTGCCATCTGTCGCAGCAACGCATTGGGTCCGTTGGCACCTGCGCTGGTGGTAGCGCCCGCAGTGGGCATCCAATTAGCAGATGCGCTGGTGTTAGCGCCTCGCCGTCGTTGGGGTCCTGGCTCATTGGTGTGAGTGGCCCAGAGTTCAGAATCGCCTCTATTTCCGCGAGCAGCGTTTGCAGTTCTCCGGCGGTGAGCAGCGCGTTGCCGATTGAGAAGTGCGGCGCCCTGGGTGGTATAAAGTCGAAGCTGAATCCTTCGGTCGCCGCGTACTTCTCTACCTCTGGTTGATGGGCTAGGAACGCGTCTCTCAGTTCGCGCAGCTTGCGGTCGGCGCCGACGAAATTGGTGGCGTTGTCGCTGTATATCTTCTTCGGCATCCCTCGGCGTCCAATGAACCTTTTTAGGGCGAAAATAAAACAATTAGAAGACAAGTCTGTCACTAGTTCTAAATGTACTGCTTTAAAAGTGAAACAAACGAACACTCTGATATATGTTTTTACTGGCGGTCGACCGCGTATTTTTAGTGTGGTGTATATGGACCACAAAAATCTACTCCACATATAAGAAAGGGTCGTTTAGCGCGAAGTCTATCGGCAGGCAAATTTCCCATTATTTGCGTCTGCAGCTTCGGCTTATAATGAAAGCAGTGTATGCAGTTTCGAACGGTGCGACTACAAGCTTCTCGAGCGTTAATCAACCAAATTCGTTCTCGTAGAAGCGCCACCAATGTTTTTGCCCCAGCACGGTGATTGCGAAAATGTAGGCACCGTAGATATGCTTTAACAAAGTGCGAGTTCTTGCTTAAGGGCAATGGGAACTTGGCATCATATGGGAGAGGCGCATGCAATAGGCGTCCTCCTACTCGGAGTAAGTTAAACGAAAGCGATAGTTCCGAGTAGTCTTGCAGAAATGGGTTAAGTTTCTGCACGCTTGCGGGTAAGGTGGTACCTTTGGCGAGTTTTGAAATTTGTTCGCCAAATTCTGTATGTTGAACCACCTGAACAATTTTGAGAAAACGCAGGTTTAATTCTTCCGCCGTCAGTTCTTTTGTGAATTTTAATGTTGGGTTCGTTATGCGTCTGATCCACCTCAACATATATGCGACAAAACGAAGCTGCTTTTTATGAGAAGAGAACTTTTCGATCAGATCCATGATCGAATTGCACTCAGCAGTCAAAGTAATCAAAACAGTTGAATTTTTCTTCTTCTCTAGTGCTTCGTCTTCTGGAGAAAGTTGAAAGTGGGTGTTTTTAGGGCATAAAGCGGGGTCTTCTAGGAGGAACTGTGGACCGCTAAACCATATCGAATCATTCAATTCGCCCATGTTACAACCCCGAGACACTTGATCCGCAGGATTTTGTTTCGTTGGCACGTCTCGCCAAGTAGCATTATCAGTTAACCCTTGGATTTCGGACACTCTATTTTGCAACAAAGGTCTGCAATGCCGAAGGATGTGTTTTGATCCAGTG